TAAGAGGGAATGAAAAAGAAATGTGAAGAAGCTTTTATTTGAATGCCACTTCACTGGTGGGTCCAACTCGAAATGAGGATCCTCCATTTTTCTAGACCTTGTCTTGAAGTCGGTGAACTCAGCTTTGAGGGACAGTGAGAGTGGCTGCTGACTAATCAGTCCTCTCAAATGTTGGCTTCTTTTCAAAACGAGTCCTGGTGGCGACCTACAAATCAGCCGAATTACGTTCACTCATCTTTTATTTTTTATTTTCAGAACTGTGCGGGCGCAGTGGAAGCAGCATCGGTGGAGACAACATGTGGAGCAAGGCAGGCCAGAGTTACGTTCAACGCAGATTAGCTGTAGATTTTAGTCTCCAAATGAAAGAGAAAATCAAATTTGAACTTTCCAGGACTCAAAACGGGCACAAACAGAAGAACTGCTGCTCCTCCAACGCTCCCAGTGAGCGTCTTTTTATGCTGTCAACGTGACAGACTTGATTAAAAATGCAGCTCGGGGTTTGAAGTGTTCCTCTTCATCATGTCCAGTCTGTCAAGTGTGGACACGTCAGCTCGGTGGGAAACAGACTGGTGACAGAGGCGTGAACAGCAGCAGCAGCACGAGGAGCCGGAAGGACCTGGAGGAGGTGAACTCTGAGCATCAACCAGCTCAGACAATTCTGTTCCAGATAATTCATACCAATGATGCTGTTTCTTCTGGCACAGTGGCGTCAGCCAGGTGTCATTTTAGCGCACGCTGCAGCTGTACACATCTCAGAAAACTCCAAAAGATTTATTCCAGATTTATTTTTTAGGAACATTTCATCAAAAGCATGATCTGAAATTAGTCGCAATTTGTTTTTTCCCCATAAAATAGCGAAGATTCTGCAAAAATTTGGGGAAATTTAATGCATACGTGTGGCAATCGCAGAACGAGCTCGTCAAGAGAAGATTTGACAAGTTTTTAACGGGAGCACTCAACTCTGCTGCTCAACACATAAATGCATTTAAAATTTCAAACGTAGCCCCGATTAACATTAAGTGCACGGGTTTTCCAACAGTTTAAGATTCATCGACAAGATCAACAAATATAAACAAATTTCCTTTGCAGATCCTGGCTTCCTTTATTAACAGCTCACTACGCGGATCATGGTAGATGACCTCCAAAGAGATGAACAAATGGATCAAACTGCACAGATTCCAACATTTCTGTTTCACACCAACTTTTTTTTACTATGTGGTGTTCTGTGAGCGGACAGAGTTCCTGGTGCAATTTAAGAAATTAAGGCTTAATCCTGTTTTTCTTGTGTGCCTGAGTTTTCCTTGAACCCATCATCCTAAAACCAGTCCTCATACGGACATTACAACTGGGAAGATCTCTCCTCTACATCCTGGTCTGACCTGTCGCTCTTACACCAACCTATGAAACTCACCCACCATCCTCACCTTCCTGCAACCTGGAATCTGACCCTCCTCTCCAGGCCTGAAACCACTACAACCTGAGGATGCCTTCCCAGTTCATAGAAAGCCTTCCAGAAGATTCTTGGTCCAGAGAAAATACCGTCTTCATTCTGTGTCCTGTTTCCTCCCGAGTCCAGCCCGTTGTAAATATTGTAAATGTATTTCTTACTTTCAGTCTGTTGAGTCTTCCTGGGCTTCCTTTGACATTACTCTGAGAAAATGAACACAAATGTGTCACAAACACGCCGTTCAGGTTTATAGCGCTGAGCATGTGCACAAGTGGTTCACCCTTTTCGGTCCCTGGTACTCAAGGATGCAGGTCAGAAATGGTTCATGGTTCCTAAAGATACTTTTCAAGGTTCTTTATTGTCATCTGCATCACATGTGGTACATGAGGTGGAACGAAATTGTGCACCCAAGGTCCCAGTTACACCCAAAAATAGCAAAAATATAAAGTATAAAAAGAAACATTATACTAGGATTTAAGATGCATAAACGCTAAACACTGGTATATTAAACAGCAGCCTGAACATGAGTGTGTAGTGAGCAGATGGGTATGAATACAACAGCTTAAAGGCAAGAAATCAGCAGCATGGATGATCATAATCATAAATACAGTTTTGCACAAGTTAAATAAAATGTTATGCCATATTTCTTTTGTGTGGTCCAGTTTCCCCAAATTAAAGAGGACGTGTTCAACTCCAACATGGTTTTGTCCTTCGTGGAACCTGCGCCCAGGTGAGAAGATGCCCAAAATCAACAAACCCCAAAATTCATTTTACGTTATGATTAATTTACAACGTAACGGAATGCAAAACGTTCCAAACAGAGATTCGCTCGATTTAAAACAGAAACTGAACACTGGAAACTGAATAACAAACGACAAAGCCTGTGTACATTTTTGCAGAAAGTATCATGGAATTGCGTAGAACGTCTTAAAGATGCATCAACTTTCACACAAAACCAACCGTATGTTGTGTTGACATGGTTTGTGGTTGTTTTTCTTCATCTGTGTCAGTCTTCATCCCACATTACGTCACTCACTTTGTGTCCGGTGAACATTTTGCAGACTCCCATTCTTCTTCCTCTTGTCCTTGCTGCGTGGCCTGAGGGCATTTCTCCTCTGCCCTCCAGTTTTCTCTTTCTTTTTGTCTGTTTAGCGTCTGCTGTTGCTGCTCAGCTTTGCTGAGGAGTTCAAGTGGACTTCTGCAGCACTTCTGGAGAACGGCAGCGGACGCAACCTTCTCATCCTCACTCACAGCCAATCCCTCCAACTTTGACCTGGCTTCTACTGACATCGTGAGGGTGTAAAACGACTGACAGACTCTTTCTATACGTCTAAAGTTTCATAATGTGAACAAGCTAAATGACAATGTGACCTTTAGCGGTTATTTATCATTACTCCTCTGTAGGTGTCTCGGATTTCTGGAGAAATGGAGGACATTCAACAACTAGAGCTGACATTGCTATATCAGCTGAACATGGGACCGAATAAAACAAGTTTCTCTTAATTTATTTTTTTTTGCTCTTCTTCTTTTGGCTGTTTCCTTTTTAGGGCTCACCACAGCCACCCTCCTCCATCTCACTCTGTCTTCACTCCATCTACCTCCATGTCCTCTCTAGCTGCATCCATGATTGTCTTTTTCCTGGCAGCTGGATTTCTAACATCCTTCTACCAATATAGCCACTGTCCCTCCTCTGGACATGTCCAAACCATCTCAGACTGGCCTTTCTAACTGCGATTAGTAGGGGTTAAGGGCCTTGCTCAAGGGCACAGGGAGGGGCAAATGAGGGTCGAGGCAAGTGTGAGTGTTTCACATTTTCTACCCAAATTTTAGATGATGTTGGTCCAAGGGGTCAAACTGGTGACCTTACGATGGTGGGCTTGCATTATCTAACCTCTGCACCTCCACTCCCTTTATACATTCAGATCATATTATATATTTTATTACATATGAATTGTTATATAATTTGTTAAATTAATTTGCAAGTATGCATTAAACTTTAATAGTTTGGTTCATATTTGCTCCTCCAGTTTTAGTTTTCCTCATTCAAAAAAAAGGTTCAACTTATTTTTCTTCCACAGCTTGTTTCCTGCTGCCACCATGTGGCCAAAGATCATTTCAGGTTAGTCTTAATGAACATCTTTTTCCTAATGAACATTTTTTTTCCTTTCTTTTTTCCTAATGAACATTTGTCATATTTTTTTCTAATGAACATCTTTAACTTTTAGAAGTTGCTCCAAAGGATTCAGATTCATCACAGAAGGAGAAGAGAAACTTCTTCTAGAGTAGCAGAAGTGTTCAACTTCACTCAGTGGCTCTTTGATTAAAAAAATGTATGTGGAATGCAGTAGAATGTCTTGTAAATAATTTAAGAATGAAGAACTGTTATGTTGTGACGTGCATCTTTAATTTTAAATTAGCATGTATTAAGAAGCATTTTGTAGCTGGGTAGTCATCTTTACAGCCATGAATACTGTTGAATAATTATGACATTAATTTTGTTAATGAAAGTGGCAGAAATGAGTTTTAACAATTTAATTTTTTTATTCATGTTTTATTTAGGTTAAATCGTGTGATCGATTTCTCTGTCCTCGGTTTTTTCTGCCTGCTTCTCGCGCGGGAATTAATGATCGTATACGATCAGAATGATGGCTCACTCGGGAGCATTATTTTCACAGCAGTGTGAGCCAGAAGAACCAACGAGTCAAAAACGGGTCGAGGAAAATTAAGAAAAGAATGAAAAGATGTTAAATAAATAAATAAATAAATAATCAAGCAAGCGACTATGGAACAACAAGGGACTAAAAAAACTGAAATACATCACAACATGCCAAAAAGATGTAAAACAACCAAAAACAGCATTAAAAATTTGGATGCAAATTGACCACATAAAGATGAAAAAAAAAAAAATCTACACTGACATGTGACTATAATGCATAAAACAATCTTAAACGCTAAATACGGCAAGTACTGTAATTTTAATTATGACAAAAAATATAAATAAAGGTGAAATGGGTGCAAAATGAAGTGTGGAGCGGCTCATCCATAGCCATAAATACTTTATTTTCCAAGCTTATAAAAATGCAGTCAATGCTGACTTGTAAAATGAGAATTTGTTCTTTACATTAGATGATTTTTACAGTTTTATAGTTGTTTCATTATTGCATGTCATCATAAAACCCACAGATGGAACATCCCTGTCAAATTGTAGTTATCTTCTATTTTAAATAAACATTTATATATTCAAAGTTTGTTTAAACAGTGGAAAAATAAAGAACAACCATAATACACAGAAAATCTTTGGTGTATGACAAATTCAATGCTTCTTGAATTTAGCATAAATTAAAAACAGATTTTGGAGTGACTTATTCAACATGGCGGCGCTTGTTTTGACTCGTTGGTGCACGGAAAACTCACCAGAGTGAGACATCTTCATTTCAACCGCCTCTTTTCTTTTCAGAACCACGCGGGGCTACGGTGGCCGCTCTGCCTCCTGCTTGTTTGCAACGGTTGTTGTGGCTCTCAGAGAGAAGTTTGTCTTGCTATCGCTCCGTTTCGTGCTCACTTTTAACGAAACATGGCCGACTCCCAGGACGACAAGCTGTACCGGGCGGAATACGCCAAGACCGGCCGGGCTTCGTGCAAGAAGTGCAAAGACAGCATCGCTAAGGACTCGCTGCGGATGGCCATCATGGTGCAGGTGAGACCACGGTCTGTTGCAGCCATTTATCCTGGGAAAACTCCGTGTTGTCGTGCTCATTGTTATCGTGCTGACTTCTAAATAATGTATGCCCATTGATAAAATCTTTAAAAGGACTTTAGAGGGACATAACTTTGGTTTTAAGGAGGTTTTAGTTGTAAGTGAGGCCTCCCGTTACCATTTTAATGGCTCTCATGCTCACAAAGAAAAGCAGAGCCTTCCTCTTCATCTTGGATGAGTGTAACTGATTTTATCTGTTCCAGGCTGCTGCACCACATGGAGAAGTATTGATTTAAGAGTCAGACTCTTTATTTATAGTCTCTGGAGCAGCTCCACAGTCGCTTCCTTTTCTATATCAGTAAACAGCACAGATTTAAGTTAAATATAATCAGTTGCTGCATCCAGTCTTAACCCTCTAATGGATTTTCATTCATTTAAATAAACACTTTTTTATTTATTTTTTATTTCTGAGGCCGGTTCTGATGGAGGAATCTTCCTGCTCAAAGAGAGTCTTTCCTTCCCACGGTCGCCCTGTGCTTGCTCAGGATGGGAGGATGAAAGAAGTGAAGCTGGGGTCCTCTGGACAGATTCTTCTTTGTTGAAACAAAGATCCAAAAGACTTGTTCAGTCTGAGACCCTGCAGCAAACATGGTGGATCAACCAGTTTGCTGCTGACAGCCAGAACTATCTATTCACATGTAAAAGGACGACCGTCGGCTCGTTAGTGCCCAGATGGCCGGTTGCTATTCGCAGGGGGGGCTGAGTGCCAGCGGTCGCTCTTTCAGGGATGAAGATGTTCACATTCTTGATAAAGAGGAACGTTGTTTTGAGAGAGGAGTGAAGGAAGCCATCTTTGTGAAGAGAACCCGTCCATTGTTTAAACAGGGACGGGGGTCTCGGTGTTCAACTATCACCCGCTTATAATGCTGTTATTGCAAGTGTCATCTGTGAATAGCAAGCGGCCTCCAGAAATTATCTTATCACCATCAAACTGGTTGGCGTATGTGAGTGTGCTGCTTATGGGACTGATGAAGTCCTTTGGATGAATGACGAAACGTTTCAACAAAAAGAAACCGGTGTCCAGAGGACCTGACTTAACTTTGTTAGATTTTTTTTTTTTTTTAACCTGGATTATCGAGCATGAACTTTGATGTTTCTGGGTGGAGTTTTCATGTTCTCTCTGTTCATGTGTGGGTTTTCTCCGGGTACTCCAGTTTCCTCCCACAGACCAGAAACATGCATGTTAGACTGATTGGTAAATCTAAATTGTCTCTAGGTGTGAGTGGGAGAGTGAATGGTTGTTTGTCTCCATGTGTCCCTGTGATGGACTGGAGACCTGTCCAGGGTGTCCCCCACCTCTCGCACAGTGACTTCTCGGCATGGGCACCAGTGACCCCCCGCGACCCGAAATGGAAGAAGCAAATAAGATAATGGATGGATGGATTTTTAAGACATAATATAAACTTTCTGTAAATAAATCGGCCCTAAAAATAAGAAATTAAATGCAAATAATTACCGTAGTCACCCAAGCAGATGAAGCTATCGAACAGTAAAAGGAGCATTGTGAAACATGGCTGCTGTCAGATTTACTTTATGATCTTTGTAGTTCAAGTTTTTCCTGTTTTCCTCCCCAGCATCGTCACAAACGCACAGATTTGACTTTTAACATGTTCAAAAAAAAAAAAAAAATCTTTCCAATGATGTCTGTTCTGTTAAATCCAGAATTTTCTGCAGCTTCGTTGGGGTCATCCTCGTTTCTTTTTGTCCTGCAGTCCCCGATGTTTGACGGGAAGGTGCCACAGTGGCACCACTTCTCCTGCTTCTGGCAGCGAGCGGCCACTCAGTCTCCAGCCGACATCGCCGGGTTTTCTGTTCTGCGCTGGGACGACCAAGACAAAATCAAAAAGGCCATCGAGAACGGAGGAGCTGCAGGAATTGGTCGGTGCTCAAACCAGCTAATTCAGTTCAGTTGATTTATCTAGCGCCAAGTCACAACAGAAGTCGTGTCAGGGCACCGAACAGAAACATTCATATATAAAATAGCCCAACAATTTCAACTCCTGTTCTATTAACAGACAATTTTAATTCAAACAATTTAAACTAGAGAAATTGCATTTCCCGGGAAAATGCAGTGTGAATGCTTATTGCTGAAAAACAGCTGAAAAGTAGCTGAAATGGATGAACAAGCCTAAGTTAGCAGAAGAAAGCAGAAAGAACACGTATTTGCTGAATTTGGTTTAAATAAGTATTAATGAGCACAAAGATTAGTAAATTAGCTTACAAAGCTGAAATTAGCAACAACAAAAATACCTAAAAAGTAGCTAAAAAAGGCAGAAAGAAGCTTAAATTAGCAGAAGAGAGAGCACAGTTGTGCCCAGTTAGGCTTAAAGAAGTAGAAATGAATACAAAACAGTGGAACTTATCTGAAAAAAAGCAGAAAATTGCAAAAAAGAAAAAAACAACAACAGCTAAATAGTAGCTAAAAAAAGGCAGAAAGAAGCTTGAATTACCAAAAGGAAGTGGATAGAGCACAATTGTGCCCAATTAGGCATAAAGAAGCAGAAATTAGCACAAATAAGTGGAAATTATCTGAAAAATAGAAACCTGCCAAAACCAACAAAACAAAGAATTGCCTGCTGAATGGTAGCTAAAATAGCAGAAAGAAGCTTAAATTACCAGGAGCAAGTGGAGAGAGCACAATTTTGCTGAATTATTCAGAAAAAAGTTTAAATGAGTGCAAAAAATCTGGAATTATCTGAAAAAGCTGAATTAGCATTAAAACAGCTAAATAGTAGCTGAAATAGCAGAAAAAGCTAAAACTTGAATAAATAAGCTGAAAGAAACAGAAAGAAGTTAGTAGCACAAAAATGTTGCAGTTAGCAGGAAGAAGCTGAAAGTGGCACAATACAGCAACAACAAAAAAAATCAGCAAAAATTAGCTGAAAGTAGCTGCAGAAAAGTTTATATTTGCACAAAGAAGCTGAGTCAGAACAAAATATGAAAGGAGCAGTAAAAGGTTGTAAACACATCTAAAGGATTTAAAATGAGCTCAGATCATTTTCTATGAGGAAAAAGTGGTAGAAAAGGCTAAATATTTCAAAAAGCTAAAGTTGCACAAAAAGTCAATCAAGGATTGTCCTGAAAAAGCTGAAAGTTTTGATTTATGATTTGTTGAAAAAGCACAAAAATTATGGAACGAGAAAGATGCCGAAAAACGTACGGAAGAAAAATGGATCACAACAGAGTGAATGTTTCATAAACATTCACACAATAAGTTGATAAAATCTAATTAAGTCAACAGAGTGATCTTCTCTAGTAACTTTCTTATCGATCTAATATAAAGTGAAACAAATGATCAATAAAAACTAAAATTTAGCTCCATGTCTGTCGAATCGACGAGTTGCAGCCGTTTGTCTGCTTGCTAAGTTTGAATATTGCTATTTTGGGTTTAATTGTTTGGTTTTAGAATAAACCTGTGGTTTTCCTGTTGCAGGAAAAGGCGATGTGAAGGGTGCAGCCAAAGGAGAGAAGACGCTGAACGAGTTCGCGGTGGAATACGCCAAGTCCAACCGCAGCACGTGCAAAGGCTGCGAGCAGAAAATAGAAAAGGTTTGCGGCCGTGACTGCGACACGAGCTGAACTCGGACGCTCTGATACTCTAATATTTTGCGTTCTGCTGCAGGATCAGATCCGTGTTTCCAAGAAATTGGTGGACCCCGAGAAGCCTCACCTGGGTCTGATTGACCGCTGGTACCACACGGCGTGCTTCGTGAGCTCCAGGGAGGAGCTGGTCTTTAAGCCCGAGTACAGCGCTGCCCAGCTGAAGGGGTTCGACATGCTGCGGGCGGAGGACAAGGACGAGCTGAAGAAGAGGATCCCTGCCGTCAAATCCAAAGGGTGAGGCGACAGACGTTTAGTTCAAGGGTTTGTCTCGTCGCCGTTGTTCCTGTTCGGAGCAAACCTGCCGCACGAGAGGATCGCCTTAAACGTGTCCCTGAAAGCCGTCATGGTGTACGCGTACAGGAAAGGGTTGACGGCGGAGTTGGCGTGCGACAGGATGATGGCGGCGAGCAGCAGCTCCAGCGGCACCGAGCAGCGCGGGCAGAGCAGCAGGAAGCAGTTGATGAGGTGCAGCGGGATCCAGCAGACGGCGAAGAGGAAAAGGACGAGGAAGAGGGACGCGGCCATCTTGGTCTCTCTGCGCATGTGGCGCTGTCCGCCCGGCTCGGCGTCGACGCGCCGCAGCTGCCGCTTCACCGCGACGAAGATCCTGGCGTAGATGAGGAACATGACGAGCAGCGGCGCGAGCACGCAGGCGAAGAAGTTGAAGTAAACCATGTAGGTCATGTCCACCACCAGGACGAAGAAGCAGTCGTCGGAATCCGACGGCGTCTTGTGCCAGCCCATCAGAGGCACGAGGCCGATGAGGAAGGCCAGCAGCCAGGTGGCGAGGATGACCAGCGCGGCGTTGCGCGGCGTCATCAGGGCGCAGTAGCGGAACGGCATGAAGATGGCGACGTAGCGCTCCACGGCCACGGCCAGCAGGCTGAAGATGGAGCTCTGCGTGAACATGATGAGGACGCTCAGCGTGAGCAGACACAGGTGAAAGTGCTGGCGCGGCAAGCCGGCGTCCGTCAAAATGGCACAGGGGATGGCGACGGCGCCGACGCAGATGTCGGCGACCGCCAGCGACACCAGGAAGTAGTTGGTGACGGTGCGCAGCTTGCGGTTGAGACCCACGGCGGCGCAGACGAGCACGTTGCCCACGGTGGATAAGAAGGCGATGACGAGCTCAGCCGCCATGTACGGCACGTTGGGGGATATCGCCACGTCTACGGGTGGAGGCGGCGACGAGGAGGAAGGTGTAACGTTCAGAAAAGGGGAGGCGAACCAAGAGGATTTCAAAAGCAGGTGCTCCGGTGCAGCAGCGTTCTCCATGGTTTTCCTAAAAAGAGGAAATCGGATTAAAATAAAACTGAGTTGTGACACAAAGCACAGAAGTCGTCACCAGTCGTCTCGAACGATCGTCGGCTCGAACGATCGTCGGCTCGAACGATCGTCGGCTGACAAAACGGTTTATTTAGGAGACACAGGAAACCCAACGAATCAGGACTGGTTTATATTTCTTCACGCCTCCTGTGTGATTGAGGAGGTTTGTCTCGTTTTCTGGTTGTTCCTGGACGGTCATTAACGCCGCGCCTCACGGGGATGGAGGCGTCTCACTCGGACACGGAGTGACGTCATCGCCGGCGCCGAGGGGCGTCCAGGCGTGCGAAGACTCGCGTCCGTTGTCCGACGAGGCCCCGGCGAACGAGTTTAATGAACGAAGGTGTCAGATTCAGGCGTGTTTGTTCCCCGTCCTCACTCCCTTGGCGTCTCATTTAGGAAGCTAACGCGGATAGGTTTATTTTTCCCACTTGTTGTTTGTCCTTTCTGAGCCACGATCAAAGTTTGTAACCAAAGTTTGGTCTCACAGGAAACGCAAAGGCGATGCTGTGGACGGAGCGTCCAAAAAGCTGAAGGGCGAGGACGACGCCGAGCAGAAGAAGCTGGAAGAGGAGCTGAAGGTGCTTCTGTCTGGTTTGGTTTTACATTACCTGAAAAAGTTTGGACGTTGTGTGAAATGTATAAACAGTTTATGTCCAGAAACACATTTCGATCACAATGATAGTGAACAGAACAAATGTTGAAACTAAGAATCGTTTTTTTTTTTGTGTTTTTTTTAAAAGGCCATTTAAAATTTTTATAGTAACGACACACCTTAAAAAAGTTGGATTGAGGTCGTTTATGTTTTTGCTTTGCGTGGGGGTTCCTGGGTGGAAACACAAGTTCTAAAACCATCAAACACTTTTCTGCATTGATCATCTGCCTTTCCTGATGTGTGAGCCAGAGTCACCAATGCACCACCATACCATCAGAGAGGCTAGCAGCTTAACCCTTAAAGGCCTGATGGTCCCTTTTCTCTCTTTTCCGCTTTGCTTCATTCTATTTTAATTGAGCTTTGATCCAAAGGTGATGGTGACGTTTCTCTTCACACATGGGTCTATTGTTGCCTGATGGTGGGAGGCACAGTTAACTGTTTACAGAGGGTCATTTGTGGAGGTGTTCCTGAGTCCATGCAGGGATGTCCAGAACTGAACCAGAGCTGTTTTTTAGTGCCGAGGGGCTGAATAACACGAGTGCACTGACTCCCTGTCTTGTCCTTTTGAGCTCAGTTTCTCCAGATTCATAAAATCTTGACATGTTTATAATCTTAACTTTGTGGGAAGTTTCAGTTTTGCACTGACTGGTGAACCTCTGCCCATCTTTACTTCTCTGAGCCCCTCTAAAAAATTGTTTTTACATGTCAGTCATTTTACTGACATGTTGCATGTTAACCCGATTAGCTGCAAAATGGTTGTTCCCCCCCCCCCCAATCCTCACTTTCCTTGAACTGTTATGCTGCTCTAAAATTTAAGATCACCTTATTTTCCCACAAAGATTGTACTTTTTTTTTTGGTCAAAACTTTAGATAGAGGCTTGAATATGATATTGGAATTACAGGAACGGCTCTAAAATGGTTTAAATCATATTTAGCTGATAGATTCCAATTTGTAAATGTAAATAATGAATCTTCTTCATACTCCTAAGTTAGTCATGGAGTTCCTCAAGGTTCGGTGCTTGGACCAATACTCTTTACCTTGAATATGCTCCCATTAGGTAAAGTTATTAAACAGCATGGGATAAATTTTCATTGTTACGCTGATGATACACAGTTATATTTGTCCATGAAACCCAATGAATCCAATACAAGCATGTCTTAAAGACAATAAAAACCTGGATGACCCTAAATTTTCTGCTTTTGTGAGGTTTTGGTTTTTGGACCTGAGCACCGTAGGAATCAATTTTTCAGTCTTTCACTTTCTCTGGACGGCATTAATCTGGACTCCGGCTCTAATGTTCAAAATCTTGGTGTTATTTTTGATCATTTAACCCCCACATTAAAAACGTTACTAGAACCGCTTTCTTGGGTTCTGCTAAAGGTTTCTTCCTCATGAGGGAGTTTTTCCTTTCCACTGTCGCCTTCATGCTTGCTCAAGATGAGAGTTTGTGATGAAGTCACACTCAAAGCAGTCTGCTCCTCAGATAAATAATTTTATTAACTTAATTTTTTTAATATAAATGTTTCTGTTCAGTGCCCTGAGACGACTTCTGTTGTGACTTGGTGTTATATAAATAAACTGAATTAAATATAATATGCTTATTATGTTTCCTTGTTTATGAGATTTGAGTTCCTTACATTTTGTTTATTTACATATTGCACATTGTCCCAACCTTTTCAGAACAGAGCGTTGTGTATTTCAGAGTAAACCTAAGTGTTTTTTTGTTTCCATGATCTTGCTGTGCTGATCTGTTTATGGTGTGTTTTCTGCAGAATCAAAACCAGCTGATTTGGGGAATCAAAGACAAGTTGAAGAAGTATTGTTCAGTCAATGACATGAAGGAGCTGCTGATTGCAAACGGACAGGAAGTTCCCTCTGGAGAGTCTAATGTAAGAAAACAACCTGCATTTTGCAGATTTAATCCTTGGCTCTCTGGGTTTTTTTTTTGTTTGTTTGTTTTTTTGGTGAAAACAGTTGATTACCACAATGATGACGGCTGAAGCGTGAATTGGCAGTAATGTTTTTGCTGTTTTTTTTTGTTTTTTTTTCTGCGTTAGCAACATATCTGAACAATTAAAGGAGTTTTAATGAAATTCTCAAAATGTAGTCAATGAATGTGGATCTACAGCTGATTACCATTTGGTGCCCCCCTAAATCAAGATGGCCTCCACAGCTAAGCAAATTTAGAAAACACAAAAATGGCCCCAACTAAGTTAGTTTGACACTTAATAAGATCAGATTTAGTATGGTAGTAGCTGCAAGTTATTCACAACGTATAGTCTGAGTGCTGTGCATTGTGCAACATCTTTTTTCTCTCTGTTAGCAAAATATCTTATGGACATTTGTAAAGACTTTAATAGAATTTTTAGGAACGAATTCTTAGATGTGCATCTAGACTACAGCTGATTAGCTAATCGCTTCAAGATGGCCACCACAGCCTGTTCACCTTTAGAAATCACAAAATATCCATCATTTTACAGATAATAAGCTAAAATATAATGTGGTTGTAGCCGGGCGTGTTTTGAAATGTATACTCTGAACACGTATGCAGATCTTTATTCAAAGCTGTGGCATGCAATATGGTGTGACACATATTCCTTCAAGTAAGCTGTTTTTATTAATTTCAAGTAATTTCTCACCTGAACGGATTTTCTTTCCTCAAAGTGGTTGTGAAGATAAAAAGAGGGCTCAAATGTGTGAACTGCCGCCTCCCTGAGTCTAAACGCAGCGTTGTTTCTTCACAGGTGATGGACAGCCTGGCCGACGGCATGGCCTTCGGTGCGCTCGAGTCCTGTAAGGAGTGCTGGGGGCAGCTGGTGTTTAAAGGAGACTCATATTACTGCACAGGAGACATCTCAGCCTGGACCAAGTGTGTGTTCAAAACCAGAAAACCACAACGAAAAGACTGGCTCACCCCGAAGGTGGGATGATGATGAACGTGTCCTTAATCATGAAAGTTCTTTAAAAACAGGGATAAATAAGTTTTCACTAGGATGGATGGATGGATGGATGGATGGATGGATGGATGGATGGATGGATGGATGGATGGATGGATGGATGGATGGATGGATGGATGGATGGAGAATGC